TCAAGGATTTTGTCAATTGCCCTGTGTTCCATATTCCAGCCATCACAGCAAGGACAGACTGAAAAAAGAGGCCAACAGGGGAATAAGAGGGCCTTCAAAGGAAGGCTAAGGGGAAGGATGCCTGGCTGGTTACCTAGGATGTAGAACACAGCCTGCATGTCATTGGCTGGCTTTTCAGCAGAATTTCAGCAAACAGCCCCTGGCAATGACGGAGAGTGTGTGCACTAAGTACCAGGGGCACCCCCTCCTTTGTTTTTTTATTATCTTCTACTGCCCAGCAGGAGATTGAGCTGAGAATGGTTTTCGGGAAGTTGTTCTTCAGCGGCTTTGTCCTAATTCACCTCCAATCCTCCTTCTTATCCCAGTTAAGCCCATCTGAAAAGCTGACAGCCCCACACCATCTCTCTACTGCAGCATCCAGGCCTGCTGATCCTTCTCCCTCCTTCTCTTCCCACCGTTACACACACACACACACACACACACACACACACACACACACACTCTCCCTCTCTCACACATACACCTGCATACTCACTAGCTGTAGAATAGAAACGGCCCCCACAGAAACTTGCTGGGTGTGCAAGCAGAGTTCATACAGGCACACTCAAATTCCTGTTTGGGTGCCTCATTCTGCCCTCCACCTTGGCCAGGGATCCTATTCAGCTCCTGCGTCACAGGCTGAATGTTACAGTGCTGATGTTCTCACTTACAATAATCTGAGGCCCAAGCATTAGGAAGCCCTCTCTACAGGTGGAGAAGTGCAGAGAGGGCGATTACTTGCCCAGAGTCACACAGCAGCTCAGGGGCAGTGCTGGGATTCAGATCTCAACTCCCTGATAGTCAGTCCCTGGCTTGCTGCAACCAAGACACTGCTAGGCCTGGGGCTGGCTCTAGTTTTGCAAGAGGAACTGGAAATGAGGCAAGGTTTCATCTAATTTCAGTAGAGACTTCAAAAAAAGTAAAAACAAAGAAAGGGAAAGAAAAAGGCAAAGATGCGTCTCTAAACTCCCAGATACCCCTCAAACCCAGCTAACCTGGCAGGTTCAAAGTCAGGCCTGTTGTCTTCACTCCAAGCCCTTGCTGGAGTTCCAACAAATGAGTAGGCTCTGAAGGTAAGGCTGGGCAATTACTCTTTCCATAGGCAAAAAACAATAGTCCAGCCCTATTTTTAGATGAGGAGTTTGAAGGATGCAGTCCCTCATCTCAGATATGCTTATTAAGTTACTGCTCTAAGTAAATTCCAAAAGAGATAACTGTCCTTTTAGACTCAACGGCAAGGTAAAAAACAAGCACATAGCCTAGGATGTCTGCCTTCCAGGGCAGAGTGAATGCTTCTTTGCCTATAGGGACGATGACATCCCTCTTCTTTTAGTATTTAATTTCTGCAAATGTAGGGGCCCTGTGATTTCTTGGTTGCAGAATGAGTCATCCATTACTTGGGACCTGAGGCAGAGCAAATTTCTCTGTAGGCTGGGGATGGGAGTGGATGGGTCAGGGGTGCACATTCATTTCACACAACTTCCTTGTCTGAGATTAAATCTGGAGGAGGTGTGAATTCTGGGTGCTGCATTTGTAAAAAATAAAACACACAGACACACACAGAGTAATGCCACATCCAAATCGGGTCATGGCAAAACTATGCCTTGTGACCACCTGCCTTTTTTACTTCTGTGTTTTACCCCTGTCTTTTAAAGTCAAAATTTCACTACTAAAAAGGGATTGGCAGGGTATGCAGAGGCAGAGTGCCAGCTTCTCTTTCCTTAAGAGTCACCACATCTGTCTGTCAACAAGCCCGTAGATCTAGGGACAATAAAAGCAGCTTCTAGAGAAGAAATAAAGTGGAAGAGAAAAGAGCCACGTGTCTATCTCAAAACAGGATGGCAGAAGATAGCCCTGAGAGAGAAGGGGAGTACCCAGAAATACAGTGTGGCTTTCTAGGGGGAAATCTGCTGTTTCCACTGGCCCAGCATCCACGACCCTTGCTTCTGATAAATGCATATCATTTTCTACTGAGGGAGCCACCATAGAGATTTGTTACCCGGGCCTGGTCAGTCGGTCCAGAACATCTCTGGGGGTGCGGGTGGACCAAGCCAGGCCCAATGTATCCACAAGCATTGGCCCCAGGACTTCAGTGGCAGCCACTGGGAAAGAGAAGCCCTCTCTCCACTTGCTGGCCAAGTTGGCAGGATGTGAGCGCACCTGGGCCCAGTCCTGTCCCAGCTTCCCAGGAACATGAACAATAAACACCCTCTTTGCTTAAGCCAGTCTGAGTTGGATTTCTAAATCTTGCAATCACAAGTACCAACTTATCTTCACTTAAAAGAAAAGTGATCATGTGAATTATATTTTCTATATTCATCATTTCCAGATGGGGACAATGAGGTCCAGAGCTTTAGGAGGCCATCCAAAGCATACAATAAACCTAGACACTGAGAAAGGACCACGAGTCAGACCTCACATCATCTAGGCACTGCCCAGCATCTACACTGTTCTCTGGCATGCAGTGTAAATGAGGAAATGTGCCTGACACCCTTCCAACTCACAGGAATTAAAGCTGTACAGTTTCATCCAAACACAGATACCGTCTAAGGAGAGAACACTCACCAACTACACCTTCACATTTACGAATAATCAAGAGAGCAAATATATGATTCAGAAAGCTCCAGAATACAAGTGCTGTTGCCTGGCAGGACCTGTTTATGAAAGTTGTATTTATTTATGGTGAGCTGAGTGACAAAATGACAGACCCATCATATTTTGAAATGACTAATGTGCTCAAGAAACTAGGAGGGCATCAAAATTGCAAAGGGGGTCGTGGGGAGCCATGCATGACTGAGTCCTGAAGCACCAAGTGTCCAAGCAAAGCCTCTGGGGAGATTCCTGGGTCCTGTGTGGCATGATCTGGCTGAGTAACCACCTGGAAAATTGCCTTTTGAAGGTGGCAGAAATTCATTCCCTCATACCATGCACAGGGCAGCTGGGCGCAGCTTCCAGGAGCCCCTACTCAAATCTAAGCAGTTTAAGCTGAAACAGCAGCCGTCAAAACTGGCCTGAAGTCCCTGTGTGCCAGGACTGGGCTGCCTGGCTGACCAATTTGATTGTGATTTTGGGTCCAAGCCTGCCTGATCCACACCGTTAGTCACGGCTGAGGCCTGGTTAGAGAGCATCCTTAAAAGGACTGGAAGGAAAGAGGTAGCATCTTTCCAAAACAAAATTGATGAGAACACAGTGCACAAAATGAGGTGAAGATGTCCATTTCTCCCCCAGTGTGGTGACAGAACAGCTAACCATAGGGCTTAGGCAGACAATTTTCTTCTGCATAATAACAAAATAATCAGAATGACCCCAACAGGCAAATTAGTATGGCTTACCTTGTGTTTGGCCCTCCCCTCCCCACCACAGTGATATTTACTGGCAAAGGCTTCCCAGGCCAAAAATGAATTCCTAAACCAAAATGCCTACTGTACACTTTAAACAGAAATAAGAGAAGGCTGGAGATCTCAACCTTAAAAAGAGGTCTGGTGGTACCAGAGAGACATTTTGGTTACAGTTACTGAAATGTGATCATGGTATTCACTGACAACTGCTGAGAAAGACATGATGGGGCAGGCAAGGTGGTGACGGGGGCATGCTTTGGCTGTGGAATCTCAGGCAACTCCCACAGGCAAATGAGCTCTCAGTCACTGAGTGAGTGAGTGGCTCTGTGTTACAGCTTCAGATGCCCTGGACTGGGAAGCTCACACAGTCCTTGCTGACAGGGCTGTGGAAAGCTGGCTTCAGAGCAGCCACTGTGAGCCCAAGGCACAGGAGGAGGGGCTCACAGGAAGTGTTCCCCACACCCACAGGGACCGTGGCCAGACTGCTGAGGAGATGCCAAGTTTATCCCAGAAGGCATGGTCAGACCTTCCCAAGAAGAGTCCCACCTTCTCTTCTACCAAGTATCAGACTCCTCATCACTTCCCACTGCCCAGCCCTAGTGCCCAGGACCAGAGGCAGAGACCCCATCTGTGTGGCTGTGAGCCTGGCCCACGACACAAGCAATGGGGCACTTTCAGTTTGCTTAATCCCAAAGTAAATGATCTCCAATTCAAGAAGGTTTTAGCATCTCAACGAGAGGGAGGTGAAAACCTGAACAGAATTCCCAGCAAGGGCAAAAAGAGGAATGAATGATTTTGCTTACTGAGCACATATGTACTACACACGAGTGTACCTCATTCTAAACAGACAGGACTTAAAAAACCTTAATATAAGAACTGAGGGAGTTATATTTAATTTTTCAGTATTTTAAAGACACTGAAAGAATACTTTTTTTTTTTTTTTTTTTTTTTTTTTGGTAGAGACAGGTTTTGCCATGTTGGCCAGGCTGGTCTCAAGCTCCTGGGTTCAAGCGATCCTCCCACCTTGGCTTCCCAAAGTGCTGGGATTATAGGTGTGAGCCACTCTACCTGGCCTACAAGCATATAATTTCATTAAACACAAATCCTCTTTCTTCCCACAGTGCGCAGGATGCAAATCATAACACCAGGTTACACAGAATAATTGTAACAGCAATGAGGATAAAGATAATAATTCCATGCTGCTCCTACTGTCGTAATAGTGATGGATACTTCTGCAGTGTCCAATCCTTTGCAGCATTTAACAAGGGGCCAGGCACTGTTTGGAGCACATTGCACATATTCATACATTTAATTCTTGTATGAATGCTACAAAGTGGGTAATATTTGTCACTTGCCTTTTCTAGGTAAGGAAACCTGGCCCCAGGTCACACATCCCATGAGGGCGGAACTTGCACTGGACCTATGTATGACACACACTCACAGCAGCCTCCGAGTGGCAGGGCTGTATAGAATGAGGTACGCTAGTGTGAGGAAGGAACCAAATCACTGGCTGGACACTAAGGGGAGCAGAAGTCGGGGTGGAGAGGGCACAGGTGGCAGCCTCGCTGGTGGGCGGGCTGGCTGGCGGCGCAGGCGCAGGGCGGCGTTCATGGGGACACTCACCTTCACTCTCCCCACTCGTCTTGATGCCTTTTGAACCACCCTCTGTACCTTTAGCCTTCTCGGCGTCTTCTTGGGCATCCTCAGCGGGCCCTTTCTCCTCATCTTCTTCTTCCCCAACGTTTTTGTAGTTGGGTCTCTTTTGCACACGCCTCTTGCCCTTGTGCTTGTTCATCTCAAGCGACCGCTCAAGCGTCTCGGTGGGTTTAATGAAGCATCGAATGCTGGGCTTGGCCTATGAAAGTCCAACGAAGGCAACAGGTGAATTCAAACACTGGAATCCTGCTGGATGCTATCAAGTTGCCCAAAAGTTTCTGTCCTAAGAAACTAATCTCCAAAAGCAACCACTCTATCAAAAGATAGCTGCATTCGCATGTTTACTATAGTGGCACTATTCACAATGGCAAAGACATGGAATCAGCCTAAGTGTCCACCCACAGAGGACTGGATAAAGAAAATGACTTGTATACTATGACATAATGGCATAGTATACGGCCCTAAAAAATTAGGAAACCATGTCTTTTGCAGCAACGTGGGGACCATTATCTTAAGTGAAATAACTCAGACACTTACTGCATATTCTCATAAGCAGGAGCTAAATAACAAGTGCACATGGCAGCAGAGTGTGGGATGATGGACGACGAGACTGGGAGAGGTGGTGGAGTTGGAAGGGGTGGATGAAGGGAGGGTGCTGGGTAGGACCAGTGTGCGGTACTCCACTGTGCGTTCCTCCAGTGATAGATGCACTGAAGGTCCTCACTTCACCACAATGCAATTCATCAACCTGGCAAACCTGCCCTTTTACCCCATGAATACAGACAATAAAAACATCTTTTAATAAAGGCAATTCATCTCCAAAATGAATGCCACCTCCAGATCTATTATTATGCCCATTATTAACGTCATCATCAAACAACCAAAACAACAGTGCCAGCTACCATTTCTTGCCGACTGTCCTGAGCCAGAAATGGTACATTTTACCAGCACCAGCTCTACAATCCCCAAATGTTTGTGTAAGGAACACACTTCTGATTAACACTTCTATGGTACTTTCTTATGTGCCAGACACTGTTCTAAGGCTCTGACTGATCTCGTTTGAACTTTACAGCAACTCCATTAGATATCACCGTGCCATCCTCATTTTACAGGTGAAGAAACAGAAGCACAGACAGAAAAGGATCTGCCTGAGGTCACACAGCCAGGAGACGGCAGAGCTGGGATTCAAAACCATGTACCAGCCACATAAGCTATGTCTTAGCTATGGCACACTGATATTATTATTGATTTTAACCCAAATAAGTTCATTTTAAACAAAACTATCACTACAGGAAATGGAACACCAGTGTACCTTGCTATTATATTAGATGCAGATAAATAACCAGAAAGAAAAAGCCAGGTGTAGTGGGTATAGTCAAATTCTAGGTACTTACTAGGCTCTTATTAGACAGGGAGCCTAGTAGGTATCAGCAATAAGTAAAAGATCAGCTTGCCCCAAATGATGAAGTTTTTCCTTAAAAAAAGTCAGAGATGGTGAGATGTAGTGGCTCATGTCTCTAATCCCAGCATTTTCGGGGCTGAGGCAGGAGGATTGCTTGAGGCCAGGAGGTCAAGGCTTCAGTGAGTCAGATCATGCCACTACACTCCAGCCTGGGCGACAGAATGAGGCCAGCGTCAACTATCTCAGTCTTTATAATAACCACAATGTACAAGAACGATCAGTCTCATTTTATTGTTGAGAAAATAGAGGCGCAGAAGGTTAAATAACTTGCCCAATGTCACACAGCTACTGAGTTGAAGTCAGAATTTGAATTGGGACTTCCTGGGCCTTGCCAATTCCAAAGCTCACACTCTTCCTAAAATAACAGTGTTTCACCAGAAGCTCAAACTTAGTTCCACATGTAATACTCTTTAAAGAGGAATGTCAGGTATGGTAGCTCATACCTGTAATCCCAGCACTTTGGGAGGATCACTTGAGTTAAGGATTTCAAGTACAGACTAGGTAACATGGAGAAACCCCATCTCTACAAAAAATAGGAAAATTAGCTGGGCATGGTGGCGGGCACATGTAGTTTCAGCTACTCAGGAGGCTGTGGTAGGAGGACTGCTTGAGCCCAGGAGGCAGAGGCTGCAGTGAGCGAAGATGGTGCCACTGCACTCCAGCCCGGATGACAGAGTGAGACCTTGTCTCAAAAAAGAAAAGAAAAAAAGAGTATAGACATGCAAACAGACTGGAAAGGAGCAAAAGACAGAAGAAAACTATTTGTTTAAGGCAGGATTTTGATTGAAGTGTTTTTCTCTTTCTAGAGTCTGAATAATGTTCAGACATCATTTTGTCATTTAAAAAAGTTTTAATAAAATAAACTTTTCCATTATCTCGATATGGATTATCAATCTGAATTTACTCCAAACAACGACCAATTATATTCTGGGGGCCACCGTACCTTGCCAATAAATGGAAATGTGCTTAAGAAACAGAGATTAATTTCAATAATGCTCAAAAGAAAACCTAATTGAAAGCTGAATTAGCATTCAAATACAAACATTAATTTTTATTTGCCCACTGTGAATTATTCAACCACATAAAAATGACAGATAAATTGAGACATGATTCTACTATCCAGTAGAATCATGTCTCAATTTAGGTCTCAAACCCAGATAGTGCATTACAGTCGCCAACAACCGAGGACCCCGGGATGGGAGCATTCAAAATGCAAACTGCTTGACAGACAGCATCCATCAGAGTCCGCTTAAGATACTGGGTGATCAAACGCAGCGTAGTTGCCTTCTCATCTTCTCCTGAAGCATCCAAACCCAGGAAGTTAGCTTCCTCCCATCACTCCCAACTCCTAGTGAATTTCAGAGCTAGCCACACAGCAATCGAAACAGAAAATCCAGACCAACTGCAGGGCAAAACGTGCCCTAGTTTGAAGCTATGAGCAGAAATTCACGCAGACAGATGTAGAAACCCCTCCCTAAGCTCTGTGTGAACTCAGACATACAGAACAAAGTGGCAGAACTGTCGAAGTGAAACTAAGTGCTCAGCTTCTGGGGCTGGCCAAGTGGTATGAACCCCCATCCAGCTGGCCTTTCCTTAGCCTTAGGTTGCTGGTCTAAAACCCTGGGAGACTAATTGTGGCCCCCTAGAACCAAAGGAACCCATGGATATGAAGTTCCTTCAGAGGCCAGGCATGGTGGCTCACACCTGCATCCCAACACTTTGGGAGGCAGGAGGCCCAGGCAGGTGGATCACCTAAGGTCGGGAGTTTGAGACCAGCCTGACCAAGACAGTGAAACCCATCTCTACTAGAAATACAAAAACTTAGCCAGGTGTGGTGGCAGGTACCTGTAGTCTCAGCTACTTGGGAGGCTGAGGAAAGAGAATTGATTGAACCCGGGAGGTGGAGGTTGCAGTGAGCCAAGATCACACCCCTGCGCTCCAGCCTGGGTGTGATAGAGTGAGACTCCATCTCAAAAAAATTAAACAAAAAATAAAAAATGAAGTTTCTTCAGAGAGTGCTGAAACAGTGAGCATCCAACATGAAACATTACCTTCTTTTCCCTGCCTACATCTAAAAAGAGAAAAAAAAAATCAGCTGCAAGAATGAATTTTAAAACTTTCCAAAGGGATCTGCTTTTCTCAGTGATCAGGTGTCTGTCATGGAAGGGCGTGCTTATTGGGAAATTTCAGACCTTTCTAACACGACCTTCCAGTAAACAACTGGAAATAACCTAAATGTCCATTGATAGGGGAGTTGTTAGGTAACTATCATCTGTTTGTGGAAAGAGTGGGAATCTAAGAGGACTGGGGCCTTTTTATTCCTAGATATGCTGGTACAGACACAGCACCAGGATGAAAAAGCAAGACCAGAGCATGCAGTAGGGTCCCTTTCAGGTGAAGTTTTTCAAAGGTGACACATCATGGTGTAAACATGACTTTTCCTGGAAAGATGCCTAAGAATATATTGGCATCTTAGGGTAATAAAAAAAGCAGTGGCACTGCGTACGCACTCACACAAAGCACACTTTCATTTTTTAGACCTTTTGGTTTGTGATTTCTAATCATGTATACATATTAACTTTATTTTAAAAATTCAGCTGGGCATGGAGCTCACGTCTATAATCCCAGCACTTTGGGAGGCTGAGATGGGAGGGCTGCTTGAGCCTAGGAGTTCAAGACAAGCCTGGGCTACACAGTGAGACCCTGCCTCTCTCTATATAAATATAGGTACAGTAAAAATTCAACAGGGGTCATTTGGTCATTGGGATTATGGGTGATTTTTGTTTCCTTTTATTCTATATTTTAAAAACCTGAGTTTTTTTTTTTTTTTTTTTCTTAATGCGAACACCAAAACGTCACAATTAGCATGGAGAAGCTGTTAGAATTTGGCTGGGAAGTGTGGGCAGAGATTTGTGACCATTTCTGCTGCTCCTGACACCCTCCTTCCGGCTGCTGTCCTCCCCAGAATGCTTGAATTGCACTGGACAGTCCAGCATGCTCCAGTCTGAAGCCCCCAGGAGAAGAGTCTCTGTCCCTCCTCTTGCCACTGTGTTCTCAGCTCTACTCCCAGGTGCCTAGACCAGAGCAGGGGCCAACAGGCTGCTGTTTAGTGAGCTCATGGCTATAGGAATGAATGTTTGTACAAGGCTGTGCCCAAAGGGGAAGACAGAATGATGAAAAAAGGAGAAGAAAGGAAAGGGAGGGAAGGAGGGGGAAAAAAGCCGAACACTCTTAGGAGCTAAACTTAGCACAATGAAAGAGCAAGCTCACCCAAACTAACCAGAAGTGGAAAAGCCCATAAGAAATCAGAAGGCCTTTGCGTTGATTTTCTCATAAAGAAAGAACACAACACATGCCCCAGAGGAAAGTATTCCCCAAACAAGGTCTACATTTCCCCAATGTCACAGGTTTAAGTTTCACCAAGCGCTCCCAGGTGCCTGCAGCTGGGCTGCAGGAGGATCATGAATGGAAGGAGCCTCCCTGCTGACTGCAGTGAAACACAGGGAGCCTTGAGCTCTGCAGCTGAATATTTGGGCTGGCTTCTGGGGTCAGGGCCAGCTGACAGTCAGCAACGACATTTTAGAGGTGCCCCAGGACCTAACTACTCCCTAAGTGTCTGTACCTACCTGCTGGTGAATGATGTCTTCCATCAGCCTTGAACCCCTTCACCTAAAAAGCTTTGGCCTTTGCTTTTTCAAAAGGCAAAAATACTTTGGGGAAGGAGAATCCCCAGGGAT